CCACGTCTGACCTGGGGGGCGTGAAATTTGCAGTGTGTTCTGAAGGAACCCACAGGGTTCCAGGGCACTGCGTTGGGATTCAGCGATCAGCTAGTCAGACAAACAAAAGACCCCCTCAAACTTAAAAAAGAAAAAAAAGAAACACAGAGGCAAAGGGAAGGGATGGTGTGGATCCTTGTACATATGTAGGTTACTGGGACGCCGTGTGAAAACACACGTGACATGTCCTGGGAATGGGAGGAGCCATGGTACTGTGGGAACAGAAGGCAGGAGAGGCTCCCGCCGGGGTGGAGACGGTTGGATGGTTGGCAGTGGTGTTTGGTAGGAATGAGGGTGGCTGAGGCGACTTTCCCAGCAGGCAGTGCAGTAAGTCCCTTACATATGAACCTTCAAGCTGTGAACTTTCAAAGATGTGAACGTGGGTTTGCATGTCCAATCATGTAAGTTCATTCATGTGTCTGGCATACATTGTCACGTGCTATACTGTAAGGTTAAAAATGTTTTATTTTTTGTGTTTTTAAAAATGTATGATTGGTTGAAAGTATTATAAACCTATTACAGAACAGTACTCTATAGCTGATTGTGTTAGTTGGGTGCCTAGGCTAATTTTGTTGGACTTACAAATTGGACTTACGAACGCACTCTCAGAGCAGAACTTGTTTGTAGGGGACTTACTGCACTGATCTGTATTCTTGGGGTGGGGTAGAGATGAGGCTTTGGATGAGGGAGGGGATGGTGCAAGGTCTTTGGCTGGCCTGGAACAACTCTAGTGATGTCTTTTGGAGGGGTGGGCCAGAGAAATGTCTTGTTTTAGGCTACATGTAACGGAAGTAATGAAGGGATCTCTTAAAAGATGAAGGCCACCAGAAGGGGGCAAATTACTCTCTCGAGTTTTTCCTAGACTTCTCCTCCACCATGCTTTTCCAAATTGGCATATGGCTCACGTGGGGGATCCTGAGGTTGGCGGGGTTGCCTGTGAATCCCCTTGTTCTTGGAAGGATAGTGTAGGGTCGCTGCTGGGCTGTGCACTCAGGATGGCTGACCTTGGCCAGCTGTGTTTCTCTGGTGCTGGCTGTCTGAATGTCCCTTGGTGTTCTCAGAAGAGATCTCTCCAGGCCAGTCCATTCAGGGAGCCAGCTTATCCCGATCTGTCATCTTGTGGCACACAGCATTTACTTTGCCATTTTTGGCTTGAGGTGGCTCAGGCTGTTACATGACCACAGAGCGGACATCTGGAAAGACAAGTGCTCGGCCGACTCGGCAGTTTTCCAGGCATTGCATTGATCTGCAGTTCCTGTCCTCTGATGGGCAGGAAGGACCTGGCGAGAGGGCCCTGGGCCTTAGAGCCATTCCTCGAAGGCCACCTTGGTAGCTGGGTGCTCCCAGAGCCTTTGTTGTGCCAGAGGAACCCACACAGGTCATCTCTGCTGCTGAGGCTGGACAGTCCCCAAAGTTCATCTGGAGGCTTTGACATTAGGTCATGGAATAAGAGGGACTGGGGCAACGAGGAAGCCACCCTTCACTTACCCATTTGCTATTGTGGCTGCTGGTATTCTATTTTTTAATTTATTTATAATAAAAGGAAGTTTGGCCAGGCGCAGTGGCTTACGCCTGCAATCCCAGCACTTTGAGAGGTGGATGTGAGAGGATTGTCTGAGCCCGGGGTTTCAAAACCAGCCTGGGCAACTTGGCGAGATCTCGTCTCTACAATGAATCAAAAAAAATTAGCCCGGCATGGTGGCATGCACCTGCGGTTCCAGCTACTTGGAAGGCTGAGGTAGAAGGATGGCCCAAGCCCAGCAGTTCGAGGCTGCGGTGGCTGTGAGCATGCCACTGCACTCCAGCCTGGGTGACACAGTCAAACTCCAAGACATAAACAAACAAAAAAAGCAAATAAATAAAATGAAAGGAAGTTAAGTGATGACTGTCATAATGCGATGCAGAGAGTGGGTAAACATACTAAGCTCCCCTACTACCTGGATCCTTGAGTCTTTCCGGAAGGATGCTGAGTTAATGTCCTCGGAGAGGTTATTCTGGAACTTTTGAGGCCTTTGAGTCTCTGATGTCTTTTCCTACTGGGCATCAGAATCACTTGTGGGTGGGCTTTTAACCAAGGTCTGGATCTTCAAACCAAAAATTCTGACTTAATAGCTCTGGGACCTAGGGAAGTATCCCCATTCTCCAGGTGTTTCTAATTTTCAGCCTGATTTGGGGACCTGCCCAGTAGTTACAGATCCAGGGAGCTCTTCCCACTCTTCAGGTGAATTCTGCATCCTCGCTTCCTCACACTGACCTTGAACCTGAAACCCTGAGCACCACTACGTGTTTGGCCGTTTCTCCTCTGCATGTCCCTTTCCAGCTTGTGTTTTTGTCAGCCTAGATCACAACTGGCGGCTTACCCCCTTTCTTATCTGTGAAGAAAAGGAGGACTCCACGTGGGGATTTTGGCGGGCAGATGTTCTGGGATGTTTTTCCACAAACCTTCCCGCTTGAGGCTTGAATGCATAGTAGACTCTTGCCGTGGGAATCCAGGCCTTGGGGTGGAGATAGCTAGGACAGTCTTGTGACTGGTAAGAGAACGATCTCCGTTTACTCTCTTCTCAGAGACATCATGAAAGGCTCAGTCTTTCCGCCACCATGTTCTTGGGCCCTGCAGACTCCAGGACCGTATTGATTGTCCCGAGGGGACCATAGGCAGGCATATCCAGGGAGCAGGGCTGAGTTGCTGGCATTCTTGATGTGGGCACTTGTCGTGATAAAATTCCGAGGGTACGTAGGTCAGGCAACGTGTCAAGTCTCTGCAGATGATGGGTCACGTGGCACATGGAGAGATTTTTCAGACTCAGAGGCAATATAGGATCTGGACAAGACCTCCCTGGAGGGGCTGTTCTCACCCGCCTGCCTTTGCCAGTATTGTCCCTCTTTCCCTCCATCCCCCCTCCATGTCTGGTCCACCCCCATCCAGGCTTTAGGATTTCCTCAGGCCTCTGTCCACGCTCGGAAGTGTCTCTTCGTCTCCTTGGCATTAGATGTCCTACCCACTGCTCTCATCACACATGCATGTATCCAGATCCTTACGCTTACCCATTGTTTTATTATTATTATTATTATTTTTTAGAAAGCAGGATATATTAAGAGGACAGAAAAGCTCCCACAGTGGTAGGGAATCCGAGAAGGTTGTCCTATTATTTTAATTTTTTATTTTTTTGCGTTGGGGTTTCACTCTGTCACCCAGGCTGGAGCGCAGTGGCACAATCACTACTCACCATAGCCTCGACTTCCTGGGCTCAAGCAATCTTTCCGCCTCAGTCTTCCGAATAGCTAGGACTTCAGGCATGCAACACCACACCTGGCTAATTTTTTTATTTTGCAGAGACAAGGTCTTGCTTTGTTGCCCAGGCTGGTCTGGAATTCTTGGCCTCAAGCGATTCTCCTGCCTGGGCCTCCCAAAGTGCTAGGATTACAGGCATGAGCCATTGCACCTAGCCATCACTGTTTTATAATTCACTTTGAGCATCTGGATCTGTCTTTCATCCATACAGAACAACTTAAAGTTCTTGTTTATTTTTTGCATCTCCATCACTTCACACACTGCCTTGGTGTGTAACAGGGTTCAATAAATATTTGTTGAGTGGATAAGTCATTCAAGTCTTTGTGGGTGTGATATGATGTAAATAATTCCCACCAAGATCTTATAGTTGAACCTTGCTAGTACCTTGTACATAAACTTATTTACAGTCTTGTATTCAAGATGAACAATAAGGGAAAATTTTCTAGCATGCAAAGTATTCCAGATAGTTTGGGACTTTGGGAACTTTTGAGATAGTAGATGTATGATATTTGTGAGGTTTTTTTAAATACTTAAAGCGGTGAAATTTTTGAAAAATGTTGTATTAGGAAACAAACCCTTAGGAAACCTAGTACAATTGACTCTTAGGTTCTTTGGTGACAAGGATATGGCAAACATTTGTTAGAGAGTGGGGTGCTTCAGCTGTATTTCCTTGATTTTAATACTTCTCCTAAAACTAGATATTGACATTGGTTGATTAATTTTAATTTGTTAATTTTTTGTATCTATTATATTTATTTTTTTGTGTAACAGTATAAGATTCCCATGTCATGAGGTATAGTGAAAGTGCCCTGAATGCAGTCAAGAGACCTGGGTTCTAGAATGAGCTCTGCCTCTACCTGTGGGAGCAGGCAGGTCTGTTTCCTGAGTACAACTAATTCATGTAAAATGAGAATGTTGTACTTGTTCAGGGGTTCTACAGGAGTGAGGCTGCCAACTTGAGTTGTTATATGTGCTTTACCTTTTTATTTTCATGGGGCTCTGCTACTTTTTCTTTCGTTTTCTCACTTTTGTTAGAATCGGAAGTCGGAGAAAATATTTCTGTACCACAAGAAATACAATAATGCAAGGATAATGGTAAATGGCAACGTCAGCGTCTTCTCTGTGTTGCGGAGACAATAGGGAGTGGTGGGGACTGTGGCATATTGGAGTAGCCAATTCTGCCTATGAAGGGCAACTGCTACTTAGTACTAGCTGGTCATTGTCAGACATGAATGTGGGCTGTGTTGACAGATATTCTGATATATATTTTTTAAGAGAAGCCAGAAGTTTGGCTTTTTTGCATGACATCTCTGCTTTTTAAGTTTGGCTCTGGCTTTCTAAACACATCCACAGATGAAATGAAACGCCTCTAAGAGCTAGCTGTAACTCACTGTTCTTTCAGTTTGTGATTTCTGTTAAAGATGATCTCTAAAGCCTTTCTGCCCAAGATCCTCTCATTCTAAAGGGGACCATTTCCGCTGGGGAATTGAAGATCTTTGGTTTACTTTGGAAAGTCAGAGTGGGGAAGGGAGTTGGGCTGAAAGGGGAAGATGGTGGTTTCGAGCCTACACGGGGTATCTGGCAGTTGGTGTTTGGTTGGGCTCCCTTAGGGAGAGGCCACAGGGTGCCTGTGTTTCACACCAGGTGTTTTCTCTGTTTGTCATTGCAGGAGTCACGTCCATTGGAAGAGTTTGTGAAACCCTCTCTCCGTCCAGAGCTCCAGGACCAATGTGTCCTCCCACTACCGGAAATCACTGGTGAATATTTGTGTTTTTTCCTTCTGCCATGAAGGGAAATACTTTCAGCAGACTGTAGAATGTGACTTGCAGAGAACCAGGCCATCCTTTCCTGTACAGAAGGAAAAGCACTGGGCTGGGCCTCGGCACATCTGGGTTCTGGTACCTACTGGTTCTGCCATTTTTACTGTGAGATTACAGTGACTTGTTCAACCTGTTGGTCCCCAAGTAGAGAAATGGATCCTGCCCTGTTTACATCACAGGTTGCTTACTTTGAAGACTCTAAAAGAGATAATGTATCCAAGAATGCTTCAAAGGGAATAAAATACTGGGAGGATATTGGTAGTACTATTTGGCTGTCAGATGTAGAGCAGGACAATTCTTTTATTAACTTTATTTTTAAATTTTGTTTATTTACTTATTTTTTTGAGTTGAGGTCTCACTCTGTCCCCCAGGCTGGAGTACAGTGGCATGATCACAGCTCACCACGACCTTGACCTCCTGGGCTCAGGTGATCCTTTCACCTCAGCCTCCTGAGTAGCTGAGACTACAGGTGCACACCACTGTGTCCAGCTGATTTTTTTTGTAGGGACAGAGTCGCGCTATGTTGCCTAGGCGGGTCTTGAACTTCTGAACTCAAGCAGTTCTCCTGCCTTGGCCTTCCAGAATGTTGGGATTACAGGCATAAGCCGCTGAACCTGGTCTTATTAAGTTTCCTAACACACTTTTTCAAGCTAGAATTCAAGATGTAGATATTTCAGTGTACAGTTACAGTGCAGCTGCTAAATTCGGCTCACTTCAACTGACCACCAACTGGGGGCTTCCTGCCTTCACGTTTGCAATGTTTGTAGACATTTACATCTGCTAATCCCATAAGAGAGGGTATTAATGTAGGGGACTTCTGGGCTAACAAATACATTAAAATGTGAATGCATATTATTGGAAACATGCATTTTTATTTTTTTTGAGTCAGAGTCTTCACTCTGTCACCCAGGCTGGAGTACAGTGGCATGCTCATGGCCGCCACAGTCTCAACCTGCTGGGCTCAAGCGATCCTTCTGCCTCAGCCTTCCAAGTAGCTGGAACTATAGGAGTGCGCCACCACACCCGGCTAATTTATTTATTTGTTTATTTATTTTATTGTAGAGATGAGTTCTCACCAAATTTCCCAGGATGTCCTTGAACCCATGGGCTCAGGCATTCCTCTCACCTTGGCTTCCCAAAGTGCTGGGATTATAGGTGTGACCCACTGCGCCAGGCTTGAAACATGCATGTTTAAATACTTATTTTCTGAGACTTCCTGAGTGGTTCTTTAAGAGATTTGCATTTTCTCTTCTCTTCCTTCCCACTGCTATATAGCTGCCATTTTCTTGAAAGATGAATTAACTACATTTCACAATTGCCTTCATTTTATTTGAGATCAGATAATTTCACAGTTAACAAATGTTCTTCCTCTTTTGAAGGAAACTTAATTACTCATCCCAGCAGGTGCACATCTTGCCTCTATGACAGTTGAAAGAGGTAAAAATATGTCTTTAATAACAGTGTGTTCCGATGCTGAGGTGAGAGTGCTTCAAGGTGTGATAACCAGTCGATGCTGAAGGTCTTAGGTGAGATTGAGGGGAGGACCACCATAAACTGCAGGCATAATGACCCATGTGTCTTGATTCCAGCTACTCTTTCTAGAGAAAAAGCTGACCTGTTAACGCAGGCTACCTGGTCAGCTCCCACCATGTGGACCAGGTGCTTTTGTGACTCAGTGGCACGGCCACCTGGGGAGCTTGTAGGGCATGAGGGGTTGGAGCGAGAAGGAAGGACAGTCAGTCGGGACAGGCAGGCCCGGGGTTAGGGAACAACTCAGCCATGACAGGCTAGTTGCGGGACATGGGGACATTCTGGGTTCCACAGCCTGAATCCTGTTGGGTAGGCAGGAAGAGCTTTGCAGTGGAGGTCCTCAGGGAAGCAGGTAGCATCAGGTAGCAGGCCATTTTATCCTTTCAGCAAATATGTATGAATGCTTCCTTTGTGCCCAGGCACTGCTCTGGGCATTGGAGATTCTGTGGTCGCAAGACAGACCGTGTGTCTGTACCTCCCTGGGTCTTAGTTTTTTTTTGTTGTTGTTTGTTTGTTTGTTTGTTTTTTGAGTTGGAGTCTCACTCTGTGGCCCAGACTGGTGTGCAGTGGCCGCTCCCGGCCACCGCAGCCTCGACCTGCTGGGCTCCGGCGATCCTTCCGCCTCAGTCTTCCGAGTAGCCGGAATTACAGGCATGCGCTACCACGCCCGGCTGATTTTTTGATTTATTGTAGAGATGAGGTCTCGCTGCCCAGGCGGGTCTCGAACCCGTGGGCTCAGGCAATCCACTCATCTCGGCCTCCCAAAGGCGCGGGATGACAGGCTGAGCCACCAAACCCGGCTGGGTCTTCGTTTTGAGTAGGAAGATAAATAAAAACACGAGGGGGAGGGTCTTTGCTTATCTTTTTCACTGCTGCACCCCAGCTCTTAGAAGAATGAGCTCCTCCCACTGACGGGCACTCATGAAGTATTGTTTTATGAATGACACAAATAGCTAAATAGGCGATATAATTTCAGGTATTTTTAAGTGCTACGAAAAAAGTAAGACAAAGTGAGAGGCTGGGTAGGGCTCTTTTTGAAAGAATTGTCTAAAGGGCTTCTTTGTGTATGAGAGAGAGAGAGAGAGATTGGTGCAGAGACCTGAATGAAATCAAGGAATCTGGGAGGCGTGTTGAGGCAGGGAACAGTAAGTGAAGAGAAAGGCCTTTGGTGTAGGATGAGCTTGGCGTGGTGGAGGAACAGGAAGGCAGCTAGTTTGGCTGGACTCGGGCTGGGGGTGGTTATAGGAAGAGTCACATGAAATGAGATCAGAGTGGTCGGTGAGAAGCCAGATCCTCTAGGCCATGATAAGGAGTTTGGATTTTTTCTGAGAATGATTGGATTCCACCGGAGAAGTCTGAATCGACTAGTTAATATGATCTTTTGCTTTACAATTGTCCTCTGGATCCTGAGTGGGCAATAGATTCTGTGGGCAAAAACAGCATCCTGGCTGGGCTCGGTGGCTCAACCTGTCATCCCCACGCTTTGGAAGGCCAAGGCGAGTGGATTACCTAAGCCCGTGGGTTCGAGACCAGCCCCGGCAACTTGGTGAGATCTCATCTCTACAATAAATCAAAAATTAGCCAGGCATGGTAGCGTGCCCTGTAGTTCTGGCTGCTTGGAAGGCTGAGGTGGAAGGATCGCCGGAGCCCAGCAGGTCAACGCTGGGGTGGCCGTGAGCATGCCACTGCACTCCAGCCTGGGCGATGGAGTGAGACTCTAGCTCCAAAAAAAAAAAGGAGAGAGAGTAGCATCCCTACAACCTGTAGGGGGTCCTTCCAGTGGTCCAGGGAAATGATAAGGCTGTGGGCTGGATTAGGGAAGTGATGATGGGATGACATAAAGTGGTCAGGCTCAGGATGTATTTTGAAGGTCGTGCCTGCTGGGCGAGATGCGGGGTGTGAGCAAAAACAAGGAGTCGAGGCTGGGCAGTGTTTTTGGCTGGGTGCATGACATTGCTGTTGGCTGAGATGGGGAGCACAGAGGGACCCTAACAGTTCTGTGGGGCTGCATGAAGTTGGAGGCGCCCCTTGGTGTCCTTGTGGAGATCGAGAGTTGGCTGGGGCTGGAAATGGTACCTCTGAGTGTCAGTGGCATATAGGTGGCATTTAAAGCCATGAGACTGAATGAGATCATCCAGAGAGAGAAAGGAGGTGATGCGTAGGATTTTGACAGAGAGCAGGGGCGGACAAAGGGTGGATTTTCCATATAAAGTCCCTACTTAGAAGTAAATGAAGGCTCATGCTCATGAATACGGCTTCCATTTTATGGAAATATGACTTATACAAATAAGATACTGTGATATAAAAGTAGTTATAAAACCTCACCTTAGGAAAAAAGTTTGAAACGCTGTGACTTCGCCAAATCAAGAAAGTTAGCTTCAGAACTGCGTCATTATCGGTCTGAGTGAATCGTGAACTGCATTGGCTGGCCAGCAGGAAGAGCTGGTGTCCTCTGCCAATAGCCTGTGAACGACACCGTTCTTTATATGCACGGGAACTTCTACAGGCCATTTTGGTGTTTAAGCTTGATTTACTGCTAATACTTTTCACATACTTTTCTCGTCCTGTGATCGTCTCATCTAAAAGCTCATTAACTGAAAGCTCACTCAGTGAGAGCCTGCCTGGAAACCAGTAACTTTGCGATGAAACGTCAGATGTGATAAAAGTCTATGAAGAAGACCGAACAGGCACCATGACTTGCAGAAGCACGATTTAGCAGCTGTTTGAGATGCCTTCAAAGCATCAAGGATAAATGCTACGAGATAAAAAGCAGCAAGAATACGCGGTGATGGCTGTAATAGATGTTTGCATCCCACCCATAGCCCTCAACTGCTGGTAACCGGTAGAGAAAATCCGTTCTGACTCACACACGTCTTCCTCTGTTTGTGGACATCAGGCATCATTTGCAGCTGCTGTCCAGCGTCTCTGTCCATTTCCCAGATGGACCGCCCTGCTGGCACCCATGTTCTTCCATATTCTCATTGGGCACCGTAGTTTTCCCATTTTCAGGCCTCCTGTCGAATTTCTTTAAACTTGCTCCCTCCAGCCACCGTAGACATTTCTGCCTCTTCCCATCATCACCAGCTCCAAAGCCTGCCTGCCTCCTCCCTCTGACTGCCTTTATGAGTCTTTCTGTCTAGAAATCTCCTCCCCAAAGCTTTTCAATATCCTCAAGATGTCCTTCTTTGAAAACATTTTCACTGTCCCCACCCCAGCTCCCAACCCCACCTGGTGTTCTCAGGCCTTCTGTGGAATTGATGCCCAAAGAATGGGAAACCCATTCAGCTGCCGAGGGCAGGGAGGTGAGCAGCGTTCCAGAATGGTCTGTGTCAGGGCCCGTGGGCGTGGGCAGCCCTCGCTTGCTTTGACATGTGTTTCAGGACTCCCTGGTTTTGGTGAAAGTATTC